ATGTCTTTGAGGTTATCAAAAATGGAGATATTTCACCAGAACAGGTGAGGTCAGCCTCACGAGTATATATTCACGACCGTTCATGGGCGATGGAGCTGATTGAAACAGGTATGGGCATTGAGTATCAGCATTTTGATATTAAACCAGTGATCTCACGGGAACACGATAGAGTTCAGGGTAGCTCAAAAGGATCTCAGGGGAACATCGTATGGCCCAGTATATTTTTCTTCTAATTATTAAGTGTCCCTAATCACCCCACTGTGGGGACGAACATTAATAAGTGCATGTTGTCCCTGTTTCTCCAACACACCGGGGTTTATAGAGACAACCAAAAGTTTACAAAATGAACATGTCTCATGTACATTTCAGAATAATGAACGAAACATATCTATCAGGCACCAATGGTTTTGAAGAGAGGTTAAACAGGTGTGAAGTTATATCAGATATGATAAAAAAAGAAACTTTATCATCAATGGAAATAACGTTGTGTTTCACTGGAAGCTCAGACACTACGGTTAAAATCATTTCAATTTTATAGTGAAGTATATCCTGGTGGGTTAGCAGTACATTTACGGACTTACACTGCTAAAATCCGGGGATCGATTCCCCCGCGACGGATAAAGAACATAAGAGCCGATTGTGTAGCTTTGCGCTAAAACTAACAATTGTTTGTTTGTAATTAAGCACAAAGCTGCACAATGGGATATCTGTGCTCTGCCCACCTCGGGTATCGAAACCCGGATTCTAGCGACGTAAGTTCGAGACATACCACTGGGGGGCTAAAACTAACAAATCAAGTAGATGTTGTCCCTAATCACCCCGTTTTACGAAATATAAACATTATTATGTCCATCAATTAAGGACATGCGTTTATTCCTCTTTTGTGATGGTTAAAGCACATCTTATAGTTATTGCTTCTTCACGAGTAATTATTATATCTACAAATAAACAATAATTTTAATATTAATGTAAGGACGAGGTATTACATTTGTTTTTTACCAATAGAGGGCGCCAGAGTATAGTGTGAAAGGAAAAACCTTACCTAAACGTGTACTTATTTCCGTGTTGCGTGAGGAAGTGTTACAGAGTTTACAGATTGGAAAGGACAGCAGTTGTTTCAAACTCTCCGTTCGTTCACATGAAATTAAAACATGTTAGTTGTCTGTTTTAGGTAGACTTCAAACTTGTTAACACATACAGATAAAGGAAACAGATATTGAAAATGCCAGACAGAACTCGCACAGATGCGGACTAACACTGCTTAATAAAACTAGTAAGTTTATTTTGTTGTTAGTGTTTTAGTAAATTCACTAAACTATACAGAGGAAGCTGTTTTCTTTGCTAGAGTTTGTTTGTAATTTAGCACAAAGCTATACAATGGAATAAAAAGAGCCAACTTCATGCTTAGTCGTGTATAGTTTCATTTCTGTATTTGGAACATGTAGTTGTCGCTGATTGTTTGTTATTCTGTCGACAAAAAAAGAGTTTTCTCTGCGGTGACGCGCGTGTGCTTGGTACAAAGTGTATGTTGACAAACGCATAATTTTGTTATTTTATTCAGCTTTTCATTTTCGTTTGATGGAGGTAAAATTTGAATTATTTTGTTGTTGTTGTTGTATGAAACGATGGTGCCTATAGACATATTGTTGTGTACGTTTATAATTGAAAGGTTGATAACTATTGGTTGAAACATTAACTCTTTACATCTAGAAGAATGAAGTATTGATTATTTAGGACGTTTTTTTTTCTTTTCTTTTTTACTTAGGTTAAACCCGAACAGCGTTATTATATGTTTGTGTGTTTAGTCATCCATTACCTTCGCTAATATTTCTAACTTGAGTTCGAAAGGTGGAAATAGCAAGTTTAACGGAAATGTTTCGTTTCAAATATTTAGTTCTGTTCTTTACATAGATCAAAATCACGATAACACAGAGGTCAAGGCTATGCTGTAATAAAGTTCAAGATAATAATGTAACAATGGTCAAAGTTGAGAATGGCTGGTTTATGACCTAATGATTTCTCTTTGCCAAGTTATTTCTCTTCGACATTTTCCAAATGTAAGTCATGATTTTCGATTTGAAAATGCAGAGTGTCATATCAGCGCGTAATTATATTAACTAAAACTACAAAATACATTGTTTAAAAACATATATAGCATTGACGTAACGTTGGAATGATCCTTACGTTTATGATGCATGTTGTAGGTTACTATAGAAACCGTCTAAGCACACAGTTATATATATATTTATGTATATATACATATTTATATGCAAGACGTGACGTATGTACATACATAATCAAAACGAGTATTTGTTTCTTTCAAACCAAAGCGACTGACTGACAGTCCAAACCTTTATTACACAAATATATCTAAACTGTATCTTTTACGGTGGTGTGTTTAATCTTGTGAGCCTCAAATGACGAGCAGGATTCTATAGTTTTTGCTCACATACATTCATTGATCCAGTCGATTTAAGAAGCTAAATATATCCGTGAATCTGTATACACCTGTAGGAGTTCATTGGAACTACGTTTATTAAGTTTCTTTTCTCCCGGCTGGTGAAGGACCTCGCGACAACCAATTAAGATTATACAAGACCCTTAGTTTCTAGTTTCTTCGTAACCTTAGGCAAGTACAATCATTCGCTGACTATCGACTAAACCTCTTGAAAGTATGCCCCCCCCCCCCTCCCCAGTGGCACAGCGGTATGTCTGCGGACTTACAACGCTAGATACCCGTGGTGGGCAGAGCGCAGATAGCCCGTTGTGTAGCTTTGTGCTTAACTTCAAAACAAACAAACAAACAGTCTTTAAAGTCCACCTGGTAGCGGAACACTAGAGCAAGAACGTATATAATTTAACTGGTTTTGATACGTGCTTTTTCAACAGATGTTTACCAACCAGTCTTCAATAATTGAGATAAGGCCGTTCCAATTTTAACTGGGGGATAACGGGATTTTGTCTGAAGTGCGATAGAAATGAAAAATGATAAACATTCGAAGAGCAAGGAAACTGATATTGTAAGTCTATTTCTTCTCTCACTTATATAATCATTTTCCATCCCTCTATGTTCCTCTTCATGTCCGTCAAGTATCTATTGTATAGTTTTGTTGATTGTTCCTGACGCTGGCAAGCAAAGCTTCATCACAGAGGACATCAATGCATGAGATGAAATATTCAATGTCGGTATACAACAGACTGTTTCTGTTTTGTTTGTTTAATTTCTTGCAATGCTACTGAAGCCACTCCTAATTTGAAGATGAGATGCTAGAGGGAAGGCAGCTAGACCACACCACCCAACGCCAACCCTTGGGCTACTCTTTACAAACGAATGATGGAACTGACCATCACATTATAACGTTCCCGCGACTGAAAGGGTGACAGTGTTTTAAATATAAATCACCAGAATTTGCCTTTACTTCATAGAGCGTTTGAAATAGTTCCCATATTTATGGCACAGTGTCAATTTCGTAGCTAGCATTATAAAGTCAGTGATTGTTTGTTTGTTTGTTTTGAATTTCGCGCAAAGCTACACAAGGGCTATCTGCGCTATCCGTCCCTAAGTTAGCAATGTAAGACTAGAGGGAAGACAGCTAGTGATCACCACCCACCGCCAACTCTTGGGCTACTCTTTTATCAACGAATAGTGGGATTGACCATCATATTGTACTGCTCCCACGGCTGAAAGGGCGAGCATGTTTGGTGGGACGGGGATTCGACCTCGCGACTCTTAGATTTCGAGTCGAGCGCCCTAACCACCTGGCCATCAGTGATTGTCAACATGGCTTTCATTTCTCACAGTGAAGTAGAGTTTTCAGAGGAAGGGAGGGGCATTCCTAGCTGACCAGTGCTCAGTAAAGTGGGGAGGTCAGAGGAGGGTGAAACTTCCATATCTAACCCGTGCGCCATTAATTAAGTGATACTGTTAAAGGATGGAGGAGGGAGAGGGACCTTACTAGTTGACCAGTGCTCAGTGAAGTTGTACGATAAGAGGAGGGAGGGTGGGAAATACATTCCTAGCTGACCAGTGAAGCAGGACAGTCAGACAAAACTCTATTTCAAATATTAATGTAAATGAAAAAAAACTTTAATAACTTCTGATCATTTTCTGCCTAACCTACACAGTTATCATAATGTTGTTTTTAAAATTAGTTGTTTTTACTTACTAATTTGGTCAATGCTGAACTTGTGAACTAGTAATATCTGTGTTTCGCAAGGGACATTTTATTTAAATTTAATTTTACACCCTTAATTTGTTTTTATATTTAAATAACGTGGCTTCGGTTTTTTGCTTAAGTATTTTTATTATTATGTTCTATAGTCAAATCTAACCTATATAAAAGCCAGCGTGTGTCACGTCACGCTTGATGTCTTGAAATAAGAGGAGTCATAAATACCAAAATGCATTTATCCAGATAGAGTAGTCTGCCCATTACCTTATAAGTGTAGTGAGTGTTGGTATAATAAGCCTAAAGTAAAGACGTAGTGTGGGATTACCTAGCCTAGAGCCAAGTGCATAAAATTTAACATGAAAGTAAAAATATTGATTCAATTTTAAACTTAAATCGTTTCTGAACTAAGCTATTTTCTGTTATACCACCAACGTTTTTTAATAAAAAACAAACCTCTTTAATCAACGGAGACTAAATTCAGAAATTAACAAATTTTTATCCAGTTTTGTTGTTTATACATTTCATTTTATACTTTCAGTACATAGACTAACAACAATATTAGGTTATACTTTTGCTGCTGAGCAACATGACATAAAAGCCATTGTAGGAACGTAGTGTTACCAAAACGCACTGGCTTTTCTATACATTAGAAATTGTTAATCTAACTATTTTTTTACCAATAATTATCCTATGAATATTCCACAAATCCATTTCATGAATGATCTTAATTTTGATTGGCTCACAAAGGAACGTACCGACGTTTGACTGTCTCGACTGCACTTTCCTGCCTCTTTATTGGTCAAACTTGATTTCGCAAAATTTATTTATTTCAGTTAGCTATGAAATATGAGGTTAGGGTATACTATGGGGTGGGGGTGGTAGTACTTGCCCCGTTATTTTTGACGGGCTACACGCTTGTATGAAATAATGCTGAAAACAGCTTATTGTTCAAAAACTGATATTAACATATTGTTTTCAACAAAACACAGAGTAAAATTATATGATATACATATCCTTCTAAAAATATGCGCTATTGATTGATTTTCAATTTGGTTAGTACAAATGGCGTTCGACTAAATACGTCATACTGACGTCACTTGTGAGTCCTGCAAGGAATGTTTGAAAGTATTACATGTAGTTTAAGTTTCAGTCTCGTACTGAATATGTCATACTGACGTCACTTGTGAGTCCTGCAAGGAATGTTTGAAAGTATTACATGTAGTTTAAGTTTCAGTCTCGTACTGAATATGTCATACTGATGTCACTTGTGAGTCCTGCAATAAATGTTTGAAAATATTACATGTAGTTTAAGTTTCAGTCTCGTACTAAATATGTCATACTGATGTCACTTGTGAGTCCTGCAAGGAATGTTTGAAAGTATTACATGTAGTTTAAGTTTCAGTTTCGTTCTATATAAATTTACTGAGAGATCAAACCAATAATCAAGTCTTGCTTTAATTGCAGGTATAAACAAACTTAGGCTAAACAACTTTAACGTAAATGAAATTACAGCATTGTTAATGTTGAGTCTAGTCAGGTTGTCGCACACGTAGACCTAACAACTTTTAGATGTTTCTCTATGGATTGCTGCTCCCAGAGGAATATTGCGTGCTATTAGTAGGGGTTCAGGGTAAAATTTCTTCACAACGAACTGCAGGTTTAGTCGCAGATAGCTCGGTCTGACAATGTTACACATTTATCCAAGTACTCACAAGAAGCAGTAAAATCAGCCATTAATTTTGGTTACAAGTTATTTCGCATTAAGGTTTTACGAGGAACATTTTGAGTCTGTGTGCCCTAGCTAGCACGATAAAACCAATTTCATTACCATCTTTTATAAGAGAGATTTATATACTGTACTTTAGTTGTGTGGCGTCGAAGTTTCGAAGGCCTGATGATTGGGGGCGCTCGACTTGGAACTTGGGGGGTCCTGAGATCGAATCCCGTCACCGAACATGTTTGCCCTTTTAGCCGTGGGGACGTTATAACGCTAAAGTCAATCTCACTTTTCGTTGGTAAAGAGTAGCGCAACAGTTTGTGGTAACTATCTACCCTTTCTCTAGTCTGTCACTTCAAAATTAGGGACGGCTAGTGCAGATAGCCTTACAGTATCTTTGAGCGAAATTCAATAAGCAAATAATAGCAGATTCAGACGTGGCGCCACGGTCGACATATTCAGCACCTCAGGGGAGTTCCAGGAGGGAAGGATTCGTTCTAAATCCCCATTTCATAAAGCATGCCGTCCCGGTTGCCCAAATGGGCGTTTATATCAATTAATTTGTCTTGAACTAATATAGTGACACCTGATGAGTATAACCTTTTTATGTATCATTTCAACATGTACACACAAACAGAGAGCATCTGTTGAACATTTGTAAACCGCAGACACGTGGAAAAATACGGTACTTTTCTATGGAAATATGCTACTCATTTATCAAATTATAGCTGCGTGACCACCGATACATAACAAATTACGATAATATTTTAAAATTGATGCCTAAACTTTCACAGCAGATGTAACACAACCTCTCTAAAAAAAGACAGTTTTAATTAGGTAAACGAAACCAAAGTGGGCGAGCTAGGAGAGAGAGAAATAAACTCTGAAGTATAAACTTTATTAGCTACGAAAAGAAATCGTTATTTTCCAATAATTAATAATGGTTGTTGGTTGTTTTTCAGTTTCGTTTCGATAGATCATTATTTTAAATAAATTGCTCTATCAACAATAACAAAAAAGTTTACAGGAATAATGTCTACATACCATTTCACATAGAGGAGTTTTTAGTTTAATTGAAAAACTTTCTCTTCATCAATAGTTTCAAACAGTACGAGCAAGTTATAAGCAACGTTATCGACCTGTATCGGGAAATTGCAAAGTTATATCCTAAGCCTTGTCTCGTTCAATAAGTGTTGTTAGGATTTTCTTTTCGACAAATAAAGCACAGAATTGCAGAAAGCAGGTTTCAAGTGCTTTAGTTCCGCCTTCTCACTCTTCAGTAAGCTGTAGCTTCATGGAAGATGGTCTGCTCCTCGATCCAGTCGAGGTTCTAGTTGGTCTCAGACTCCTGGGCTGCTATGGGTGACTTCCACTCACCCTACAAAAAGCTTGGAACGCCCCTGCACATATACATCTGTTTACAGCGAATCTCCGATCATTTGTTAGCGCAATATCCCAAGGGCAGACTTGTGGATAGAGAGTAATTAAACAAGGTAAAGCCAAAGAAGACAACAGTTCGAAGAAGGGACTCTTCTATGTGAAAGAGGAAGAATATCATGAAAAACAAAGCGTTTATTACTACACCAACGAGCTTTGAAACCACATTTCAAGCCAATTCGGAGCAACGCTCTTCTCTAAAAAGTAAAGGTTCGGGTTACGAAGATGAACCCTTCGACCCAAAAGAAATGTGATCACGAAAAAGCTCAACATAACCTTTGTTACCTCTAACAAGATAATAAACAAGGATTTGAAATTAAAAGGCTCATAAGCAAAAAATTTACAAACTTCCAGCCACATCTGGAAATCAGTGGCTGTTTTCATGAGAAAGATGGCAGAAGAAACCAGAATCTCAGCAATCCCATTCTACTGCATCCCTGCGAATCCCCCCTTTGCAACGACAATAGTATTTCTGTGCTCGTCTTGGAATCCGGCGTCCATATACCGTGGAGGATGTGTGAGCAGTTTGTCGAGATTTGTGGTACAGAATTGGCCTCTTTGTCTTTCGCATAAGGTTGTTACAATGGTCATTGCGTAATTTAGGTATGTTAAAATATAGGTATACTTTATAGATTATAAAACGGTGTTTTTCACAATACTTTAGGTAGAATAGTTGAAAAGTGAGATGGCTGGTATAATAATCAGAAACTTAACTAATACAATATAGTCACATTGAACTAGATATTTGAATACAAGAATTGAAATTGATTACATTTCAGCTAATAAGGTTGGTAATAGATGATCAGTTAACATTTTCTAAACAGTTTTCCGTCTAATTTTTAGGCTAGCTCAGCCCTACTCTGCTTAGGCCTAATTTTGAAACTTTTGGTTTAAGTGCATGTATTCAAACAAATTTTTAACATATAAAAATTAAATCAGTTTACTTCGAATAACTGAAGCTTAAATATTTTATAGCACATATCGAACTGTTTGGTTGAAAAAATGTTACAGAAACTGGTCAGTCTAGGTCACCGTTAAACTTGATGTGATAGAATTGACCTATAAAATGATTGACAATACACCATCTGCGTGGTTGGTTGTTTACGTGTTATCCAAGGTTCTGGATGATATTTTAATATCTTATATGTTAAAGATTACTGACCGTTCTTCTTTTATGTCTTTTTTTACATGAAAGTTAACTAATTGTTTCATCTTTGAATTTTTTAGGTCTTCACGTGAAGAAGAATGGGCGCCAGTTCTAGTGTTGCCAGGTTTAATACCGAACCTTTACAAGAGACGTCAGTGCCCTCTATTGATGAAGATAACGATTTTTCTAACCAGTCGTCAGAAAAATACGGTGACAAAAATCAAAGTAATTTAATCAACAATGACGAAAATAAAACCCTCAAGAATGAGCCAGTCGAACTGACAAAGGACAGTAATGTTTCTAAGAAAGCAGTTCAAAATGCTGGTAAAGTCGTGGATAAATCGAAAAACCAGGAAAGCAAAGTGATCGTCTCTAATTCTTTGGACAAAAACAAGTCAAAACTTCTTCAACCAATCCAAAGTGCAGTTACTAGTAATGAAGAAGGAAATGTTGTTTCTTCAGCCAATAGCAACACAAGTCTCAATAGCAGACGCAGGCCGTTAACCTCACAGTCATCCAATCGTAGCAAAGACAAAAGCGTAAGATCTTATCAGGGACCAATCAGATCAGCCGTGTCAGCATACTCTTCCAGAGATGATTGGGAATACCGCATGGTAAACGCTTGTTATCTTCTTGTTGTTTTAACGTCTAAGATATTTCGTTTTAGTGATTGCACGTAACCTTATCATTTGTTACTATAGTAACACGGTTCTTCCTATTAATCATTGACCTCTCCATTTTTCGTTATTTGGTTTCAGTTTTTATCGTATTAAGACAACTTTTGTATTACTTATATAGATCAGTTTACAAATGAATGTTATTTATATTTATAATATCATTTGAAGTATTTATACCAGTACTTATGATACAATACTTTACTTGTGGCAGTGTTCATGATATATTTTCTGTTATTTATATTTCTTCTAAAAGATTCATTATTTACATAGATTCTTATAATTTAGTTTCATGCTACATATAGTTGTTTTTATAACATAATTTTACGACACTTAAGATCTTATAACACATCTATATAATAAGATTCAGTGTGTGTGTGTGTGTGTCACATAACTCGTCCTAAACTGCTGGTTGCACCGACTTCTAAATGGTACCAAACGAATCGTCTCGTTTCCTAGGTTTGCACAAAGGTTTG